TGTGAGAAATGATATCTCAATGTTGTTTTAATTTGCATTTCTCTAAATATGAGTGCGTTTGAACATTTTTTCATGTTTATGGTTTGTCCATTCCACAACCCCCCCTTCATTTTTCTGTTGGATTTAGGTCTTTTTTCCTTCAATTTTTTAGAATATTAGGAATATTAACCCTTTGTCTACAAGTATTTTCTTCCAGTTTTTCATTTGTCCTTTGACTTTGTTTATACTGTTTTTCTTTTAACAGCTTTTATTTTTTATCAAGATATGCCGTACAGTTTACCTATTTAAAGTGTACACTTAAAGAATTTTTATTATATTTACAGAGTTGTGCAGCCATCACCACAATCAATTCTAGAACATTTGTATCTCACGGGAAGAAACGCCATACCCATTATCAGTCACTCTCTGTTTTTCCTAAGTGTCCCTCTCCCCTCCAGCCCTAGACAACCACTATTCTGCTTTCTGTGTTTGTAGGTTTTCCTATCCCGGAGATTTTATATGAATGGAATCATGTAATATATAGTCTTTTGTGTTTGGCTTCTTTCACTTAGCGAGATGTTTTTAGAATTCATCCCTCTTATAGCATGTATTAGTACTTCATTCCTTTTTATTGCCAAATAGTATCCCATTGTGTGGATATGCCATATTTTATTTATCCACTCACCAGTCTAGAGACATTTGGGTTGTTTCTACTTTTTGGCTATTATGAGTCATGCTGCTGTGAATATTTGCATATCTGTTTTTGCGTGGACACGTATTCTCATTTTATTTATGGTGTTTTTAATATGTAAAACTTTTCATTTTTCTTACCTCTGGATTTTGAGCTTTTCCCTATATCAAGGTTAAAGACAAATATACAGTGGCTTTTTTTCCCTACTGCTTCATGGTTTCATGAAAAAAAATTTAGATTCCTAATTCATTTGGAATTTAGTTCTTGTGAATGGTGTGAAATATAAATCTAATTTTGTCTTTTTCCAAGTTACCAAATTGCTCTGACACCATTTATTAAAAAGTCCACCTTTACCCCAGTGATATGCCACCTTTGGCATATACTAAGTTTCTCTAAGTGTTTTGGTCTAATGCTGAACTTCCTATTTTATTCCACTAGTCTGTCTGTTTCTGTGCCAGTATTGTACTATTTTAACTATAGAGGTTTTTTTAGTATATTTTAATGTCTGATAGGACTAGTTCTCCCTTTGTAATTTTTCCTTGTTTCTGTTTTCCTAGCTATTCTTGCATGTTTATTTTTCCATGTGTACTTCAATATCATCTTACATAATTCCATAAAATAGCTTATTGGCATTTTTATTGGGATTGCATTATTTTTCAAATTATTATTTGAATTTAAAAATTAACTTAGGGAGGACTGACATCTTTATAATGTTGAATCATCCTAAACAACAACAGGGGATACCTGTCCATTTGTTCAAGTCTATGTTAGTGTCTTTCAGGAGTGTTTTAAAATTTTCCTTGAATAGGGTTTGCACATTTCCTGTTAAATTTAACTCTAAGTTTGAATTTCTTTGGTGTTTTCTCTACCATTGTGTCCTCTAATTGTTTATTTGTGCATATGGAGGCTGTATTTTTTTTTCTTTCCAGGGTTGTTGAGATAAAATTGACATAGAGCACCATGTATTTAAGCTATAAAGTATAATGATTTGTCTTATGTACATCATGAAATGATTACTACAATAAATTTAGTAAACATCCATCATCTTATATAGATACAAAATAAAAGAAAAAGAAAAACATTTTTTCCCTTATGGAGAAAACTCTTAGGATTTACTCTCTTAACTTTCTTATATAACATACATCCGTGTTAATTATACTTATCATGTTGTACGTTACATCCTAATACTTATTTATCTTATTTTGTACCTTTTGATAACTTTCATCCAATTCACCCTTCCCCACCCCCCACTTCTGGAAACCATAAATCTGATCTCTTTTTCTATGAGTTTGTTTGTTTTTGAAGTATAATTGACCTGCAACACTGTGTTAGTTCCTGGTCCACAACATAGTAATTCGATATTTCTGTACATTACAAAAGGGTCACCATGGCTATTCATATGTTAATTTTATACCGTGCCACTTAACAGAATTCTTTTATTGTGTATTATTTTTATCATGACTTCTTGTTGTTTAAGTCTCGAACTGATAAGAGTTCTTACCTGTAAGCTATTTCTGATACATACATCAATAGCTTTTCTTATCTTGAACAAACCTTGAATTTTTAGAATAAACCAAACCTGGTCATGACACAAATTTATCATGATCTTTTCGTGTGTTGCTGACTTATATTAGATAATATTTCACTTAGCATTTTTGCATTTGTGTTGGTAATTGGTTTTGATATCAAGCTTATATTTGCTGTGAAAGAGTTAATGTAAAATTAGAATCACCTGCTTCTTGAATGTTGATTGAACTTTCCTGTAAAACTGGCTAGGCCTGCTCTTTTCTTTATGGGAAGAATTTTCATTACTAATTTAATTTCTTAAATGATTATAGGACCATTCAAATTTTCTATTTCTTCTTGAATTAGTTTTTTCCCTGATTTTTTTTATTTCATACTTTCAAAAAAGTTGAAAGACTAATGTAATAAATACCCTTTACTTGGATTCTCCAGTTATCATTTTCTGTACCTCTGTAGATATATAGACTTTTTTTTTTCTTTTTTCCCCTGACTCATTTGCAGGGAAGTTACAGACAACAAAACACATCCATCCTAAATACTCAGGTAACTCTTAAGATATGGAGCATTCTTCTACCTAACCACACTATTACTAGCACACCCAAGATTACCTTTCAGAGATTATTGTCTAATATATACTCTCTCAATTGAAATTCCCCAATTTATACATGACTTTAATAGCTTTTAGGAGGAGAGGTGGGGTTCAAGATCCAATCAAGGATCATGTGTTACATTCCACTGTCATCTCCTTTATCTCCTCCACCGTTTTTTTTATAACACCAGCATTTAATTGAACCATTTAAATTATTTAAATTTTCCATAGACTGTGTCCATTTTGCCTCAGTTTTTAAATACTTTTTAGTATTTAAAGTATTTAGCATACTTTTTAATATTTTGTTTATTAACCCTGATGCAGCCATAGAGTTATGTCTCCTTTCATATCCCTAATACTGTTTATTTTCTCTTTGCTTTGATCTGTCTTATCTAATGAGATTCATCAGTCTCATCAGTCATTTCTAAGAGCTTCTGGCTTCTCGATTACTTATATATTTCAGGCTCAGTTTCAGATCACTGCAATAAAGCAAATATCACAGTATAGCAAGTCACACAAATTTTTTGGTTTCCCATTGCATCTAAAAAGTATGTTTATATGATAGTCTTTTAAGAGTATGATAGCATTATGTCTAAAAAATGTGCATATCCTAATTTAAAAATCCTTTATTGCTGACAAATGCTAGCCAACTTTTGAGCCTTTAGTGAGTCATAATCTTTTTGCTGATGGAGGGTCTTGCCTCGATGTTGATGGCTGCTGACTGATCAGGGTTGGAGTTGCTGAAGTTTGCAGTAGCTGTGGCAATTTCTTAAAATGAGACAACAATGAAGTTTGCCAACAAACATCAATGGACTCCTACTTTCACAACAATTACTATGTAGCATGCAGTGCTGTTTGATAGCATTTTACCCGTGGTAGAACTTCTTTCAAAACTGAAGTCAGTCCTCTCAAACACTGCTTTATCAACTAAGTTTATGTAATATTCTAAATCTTTTGTTGTCATTTCAACAGTTTTCACAGCATCTTCACCAGGAGTAGATTCCATCTCAAGAAACCATTTTCTTTGCTTATCCATAAGAAACAACTCTTCATCTGTTCAAGTTTTATCATGAGATTGCAGCAATTCAGTCCCACCTTCAGGCTCCACTTCTAATTCTAGTTCTCTTGTTAGTTCTACCACATCTGCAGTTACTTTCTCCACTGAAAACTTGAAGCCTTCAAAAGCATCCGTGAGGGTTGGAATCAACTTCTTCCAAACTCCTTAATGGTGATATTTTGACCTCTTCCCATAAATCACCAATGTTCTTAATGGCATCTAGATTGGTAAATCCTTTTCAGGTTTTCGATTCACATTGCCCAGATCCATCAGAGACATTGCTGTCTATGGCAGCTATGGGCTTACAAAATGTACTTCTTAAATAATAAGACTTGAAAGTTGAAATGACACCTTGATCCATGGGATGCAAAATGAATGTTTTGTTAGGTATGAAAAACAACGTTAATCTCACCATACGTCTCCAGAATTCTTGGGTGACCAGGTGCATTGTTGATGGGCAGTATTATTTTGAAAGAAACCTTTTTTTTTAAGCAGTAGGTCTCAAAGTTGGGCTTAAAATATTCAGGTTGTATTTTTATTACGGATGTTGACTAATTGCATTACGGCCAGAGAATAGGATCTGTATGATACAGATTCCTTAAAGTTTATTGATACTGCTTTATGGCCTGGTTCAGCTGCATAGTCAGCTTTTATAAATGCCCCCAAATGCTTTAAATGAATGCAGATTTTCCAGGTGCACTGTTTTATATAACTATATTGTTTTTTTAAGATCTTATGTGAACAAGTTCATTAAGTGTGCTATTCGTATTTCTACTTGATTGATCTACCAGTTAGCCACTGATGATGGATTTGTGTATTTTTCCTTTGCAGCTCTGCACAAGTTTGTTTTATAAATTTTGATACTATGTTATTAGGTATATACAAGTTTAGAACCTTTAGAACTGTTATGTCTTTCTACTGAATCTTTTATCATGATGGAACATCTTTATCTCTGCAATGCTTTTTAAAGTCTACTTTACCTGGTAGCAATAAACAAACTAATTTTCTTTTGATTAGTGTTTACCTAATGTATTTTTTCAGCTCATTGATTTTCAACTTTTCTATATCCTGTGTTTTGCAGGAGGATTCTTAAAGTTTAGTCTGATAACTGCTCTTTGTCCTTGAGATCCTTAAATGTACAATTCTGCCTTCTCTCCTAGCGGCAGTACATACCTGTGAAAGTGAAGAGCAAAGCCTTCTGGATCTTCTTTTGGGAGTATGCCATGATGTACACAGGAAGCCTAGTGGTAATCGTTTGCCTGTCCTTCTTCCTTCTCAGCTCCTGGGATTTCATCCCTGCAGTCTATGGCTTCATGTAAGTAATGACTTCATTAGGAAACTTTGGAAGCTAATGTAGTCTTCACAGCTCTATCTGGAATCAGACAGAGGGAGAGCAAGCACAGGCAGCATCTAGAGCAGTGGCCTCAGACCGCAGTGTGCATCAGAATCATCCACAGTTCTTGGACACCCAGATTGCTGGGTTCCACCTGCAGAGGTTCTGATTAACTAAGTCTGGGGGTAGGAACCAAGAATTTGCATTTTTAATGAGTTTTCAGGTGATGCTGATGCTGCCAGTCCAGGGAACACATTTTGAGAACCGTTGGTCTAGAGCACACCTTAATCTAGTGCAATTAAATAACACCGTCTGGGAACATCCAAAGCAACTACCAGCCTCTGACTGGAAGGTTTTGATTCAATCCCAGGCGGGAATGGATGTGTTCCTCTACTACAAGAGGATCTCCAACAGGTTTAAAATAGAGCCACCTTTCCTACGTCAAGCTTTTAGAGAAAATCAAAATGGGTTTGCAGGATGAATTCTGCAGACATTTCCAGATGTTCTCCCTGTGGTGTGCTGAGGAAGGGAGTCGCTGCCAAAGCCTTGAGGAACTAACAGCCCAGTGGGAGACAGACACTTAAACCTGCCAGGATGGCAGGGAATCTGTGGCAACCTCCTCTTTGGGATTCTGGGCTGCTTATTTGTGTGAAATCTTGGCTGAGCCTACCAATGATTCAGTAACCCTCAGCTTATCATGCTCTGCCTCGGATAAGAGTTTGTAATGCCCGACGAAAAGCTTTTCCTAGTTTTCTGCTGTTCCACAGATTGTGTTCTTTACCTCATTTCACGGAAAAGGAAATGTAGTTACAGCAGGAAGCCGACTTGCCCTGGGCAGAGGCCTTCGTCAGTAAAATCTGCCCATGAACCATTGCCTCTCTCTCCCTTACCATGCTTCACTGGTTGTACTTTTAAAATTGTGAATTGGCATCAGTTTCAACCCCGTATTTTTTAAAATAAAAAAATTTAATGTAAAGTTTTAGACAAGCCAGAATTGCATCCAATCTTCATTTGATATACGAGACAAAAAGTTTTCCCGCTAAACCCTTATTTCTCAAGTAAGGTCTGGGATCCTAGCCAGAACCTGGCAGTTGTTCGTCAGGCCCCTGGAGGTCTCACTGCAGTGTCAGGCACTCAGTCTGCTGGCTCCTGCTATGGGCATGTGGAGCAAGAATGAGGAGGGACAGGATCTTTGAGCTTGTTCTTCTAGACAAGTCTTTAGAATGCCCAAAATAGGTATTGTTTATTTCAAACCCATTCCTCTTTTGCTATAGTACAATTCTGATTTTAAACATATATATCTTGGGCAGTAAAAGAGGGGCTAGTGTTTTGATTTCTAGGGTGAATCCCTGCCTTGTTTCAGATCTTTGATGTATGCTAGAGTTTGGCTCAGGTAATATTTTTTATGGGTTATTATTCTCTGTGTCTCCACCCATTATTTTGTTAATTACCTGTATCCAGGCTCCTGGAGAGCCCCTCATATCCTGTTCTTTGTGGGGACAAAGTCACCTTTGACTGCCCAGCAGTGACCAAAGCCTTCAGGAGAAAACCGGGTCAAAGCAGACCATTTATAACTTTGCTTTTTTTTGCTCTTCCCTTGTTTTCTTCATTCCAGACTTTCTGTTCCAGATCTCACTCCAAACATTGGTCTCTTCTGGTACTTCTTTGCAGAGATGTTTGAGCACTTCAGCCTTTTCTTTGTATGTGTGTTTCAGATCAACGTCTTCTTCTACACCATCCCCTTGGCCATAAAGCTAAAGTAAGTGATGGGACTGCTGCTTTTTTCTCCACAGAGCCATTTGTGGCTTCACAGGGGCTTTTCAGACTGGGAGCATCTGCCATCAGATTTATGCCCTTTCTGCCCAGGGAACCCTGCCCTCAGTCGTCTTGGGTGCCAGTGGTACCCAGCAATAGAGTCACACACGAGTGCAGGCTGCAGGGAGGATGCTCTGGAGCACTGATATTACTCCTGGCCTCACTTTGGGGTGCTTGAGCCCATGTTGCTGCTGAGCTCACTCACTGTTTTAAACAAGAGCGAGGGTTGGGGTGAGGGAGGTGTCCTTGTTGGGTGTCCTCCGTCAGCATCTCAGTGACACTTTGCCCAGAGGGACTCAGGATGTGTTAGTTGGGAGGCTGGCCACCTGCAGCTCTGTTTGATCTTCTGATCAGTTTCCCTCAAAAGGGTTGTCTGTGGAACTCCCTTCTGCAGTCTAAGAGAGCTAGGATGTGTTGAGCCTGGCTCCACCTCAGACACCTTTCTAGGCTTTCTGATATGTATTCATACCTAACCCTTCCAAGGAACTCCTGGAGATAGGCACTATGTTATTATCATTTCCATTTTATACTTGAGGAAATTGACATTCAGAGAGGTGGAACGATTTTCTCAGAGTCACACAGCCTGTGAGCAGTGGAGCTGATTCAGACCCAGGTTTGTTTGACTGCAGAATCTATGCTCAGTCCCCTGCACAGTGCCAGGCTCCTGAGAGAGATCACTTGTACTAGCTCCCGGAAATGGTTCTATTATCCCAGCTTCAGAGAAGAGAAAACAGGCACCGATAGGCACAGATATGCCTGGGTGGTCCAGAGAAGCTGGAAGAGTTTTGATTTAGATTTCAGGAGCTTGAGTTTTCTGCTCCAACCTTCCTGCCATTCTCCATGGCCAGTGAACCAGTGCACATGGTTCCCATTCTGTGAAAGCTCAGAGCTGATATTTCCTTCCCATGACATAGCCTGGGCCTGGCATCTGACAGAAAACCATTCTTTCTTGACCTGGCAAGCTCCAGAATTCTAGCAGCCCTACCCAGCCAAGCTCTCCAGCTGTCTGGTCCACATTTCCTGCTCTTGTTCTGGTCAGGCCCAGCCACTGGGCTGAGAAGCAGGGAGCCTGGAGCATCTTTCCTCGTTCGGTGTAGCCAGCTCTCCAGCAGCTTCTATTGTCTGCATGTGAAAGTCCACAGATGACCCCTGGGTAGACAGTAGCACCACCATCTTGTGACACCATCCCCTCTCCCCTTCCCCCACAACCAGGGCCTCAGAGTTGTGGGGGCAGAAGATATAAGGATACCTGACCTCCCCCATGGCTGCCCTCTTGTACCTGAACATGAAGTTCCACTATCTCTCCAGCCTCTGCAGTGCCAGCTTTGTGAGAGCAGGCCCTTCAGCTCCGCTCTCCCCAGGCAGTGTTGCAGGAGGTTCTGGTCTCCACGTTTTTTGGCACTACTTTGTCCCTGGCCTTTTCATAGGAATGTCGTAGCTGTTACCAGCTACCTAAAAGGTCCAAAGCCAATGATACAGATTGTCTTTAGGAAGATGCTCGCCAAGATACATAGACCCTGCTTAGAGGCTACAGGACTATGTGACTCTGCCAAGCTCAGTTTCTGAGCCATTTGCTGTATAGTATTTGGGTGTGTATGCGTTTGTCTCCACACCTCAGATTTATACCCATTGAGTCACCCTCACCTTTGACCTGTAAGACAAGAATGTCATTAACCTGAAGAAAACCTTCATGAGCTGGGCATCCATGTCCTTTGCAGAAGTAGGCCACATGCATGTCATTCAGGTGTCGCTGAATGGAGGAGGGGCAGACCTGGCTTCTTCCTGGTGGCTTCCCTTCAGCACTTGGTCAGCTCTCGGAGGAGCACTGAGGTTGAGCTGTCTCACCCTCCCGGGTCAGAGCTGTGATGCTGCTGGCACTCAGAACAGTGCTGGTGGTGCTGGGAGTTCTGGAGACAGACAGCTCCATCTCTTACGAATTCTCTCACCTTCTCTGAACCTGACTTCCTCATCTGCAAAGTGCAGTGACAGCATTGCCTACCTCGAGGGGCAGTTGAAGTGTAGTGAGGATCACATGCGAAGATACAAGGAAAGGGCCCAGGACACAATGTAGCACAGAGTGAGGATTCAGAAATGGTAGCCATTGTTACTAGTTTAAGGTTACAAGAACTCTAATTCCAGCCCTTAAGAGCTGAGAGAGAAGCTGCCTGCAGCTCTCGGTTCTCTTTCTGGAGCGGAGCTCATCATAGCTAAAAGTCTATCGGCCCCACTGACCCTGTTGTCAGAGAAAAAAGCATTAGCAAGGAAGCACTTCCTGCCCTGGGTGCAGTGTCGGGGCCTCTGGCAAGGGCGGTTGCTGATTACTCTGACAAGCCGTCATTTAAGTCCAGTAATAAAGGATGCTGACTTCATTTGTTTTCTTCCTCGGTGGCTCCTGGGAGAAGGCCCAGAGCTGGTGGGGGGTGGGGGTTGATGGGAAATGTCTCTGTGGGCTGTTTCTCTAAGTGTTTGCTGGGCTCTTCACCACCTCTGGGCCTCTCTGGGTCCCCTCAGTTTTCTGCTCTGCTGCTTGGCCTGGCCCCATGTCTTGTGGGTGGCAGAGCCAGCCCTGCCTAAAGACCCCTGGAGAGTATTTTTGGGTTTGAGGGATAGGGTCAAGAGTCTCTGGGGTGGGGCTGGTCCCTGATTGATCTTCCTCTGCCCTGCCTTCCCCTAGGGAGCACCCTGTCTTCTTCATGTTCATCCAGATTGCCATCATCTCCATCTTCAAGTCCTACCCGACAGTGGGGGATGTGGCCCTCTACATGGCGTTCTTCCCCGTGTGGAACCATCTCTACAGATGTGAGTACTTCCACCTCTAACCCCTTGAATGAATCAGCAGGGAAAGAGGGATTGATAGGCATTTGCTGGGCACCTGATGAGCTAGCAGCACCAAGAGAGAGGTGGTGACAGGAGGCACGCGATCTGCCTCCTCGGTGCTACAGGTTACTGATAATAATAAAATAACTAGCATGTATTGAACACTTACTGTGTACCTGGCCACCATGGTTCTAAGAGCATTACATGCATTAGCTCCTTTTATCTTCACACCAGACTTTGAGGAAAGTGTCCCCATTTTACAGATGAGAAAACTGAGGTACAGGAAGATAGAAACACATATCTAAGGTCACATGAATGGTAGGTAGAAAGGCTAGCACTGGAATCCAGATCTTTGAGCCTCCAGCCAGCACTGGCCAGTAGGGCTTTCTGTGATGACAGAAATGCCCTGTGTCTGCACAGTCTAAAAGAGTAGCCACTAGCTGAGAAACTGAACTTTTAATTTAAACTAAAGAAGCCACAGGTGGCTAGTGGCTGTCGTGTCGGGCAGTATAACACTAGATTTTGGCTTCGAGCCATTTCCCAGTGCTATACCGAAAGGTCCAGAGAAGACAGATGAGCAACACTAGACTTCCCACCTGCTGGAAAGACCTCTTTAAGCTCTAACCATCCCTTCCTCAGAAGACGGCCTAGCGGTGATCCAGTTGCACTTTCTAGTATTTCCTAGTGTTTCCCTCAGTCGGGCTCTTTGCCTTCTGTGTGGGTTCTCTTCAGTGTTTGTGAGCTCCCTGAGGATAGGCCAATAACTCACTTGCCTCTGTCCAGGATCCAGAATCAAACCTGACACACAGGACAACTCAGCAAATGTTTGTGTATGGGCTTATTAAACCTCCCTAATGAAGAGGCAGTGTCGGTGGCCCAGCATCACTTGATTCTCTAAACAGGGGAGGGAGCTGATGAAGTTTCCTTCCCTACATTGGGTGCACAGCAAGGGGTCAAGAATGAACTTGGGGAGGGCAGGCTTCAGAGGAAGTGAGTCTGTGTTGTTTTGGGGCTGCTGGGTGTCAACAAGGAAGCAAAACTGACCAACTGCTGGAAAGAAGCCTGCCTGTAGGAGTGGGCCTCTGAGTGAAGGTAAACAAGCCGGGCTGCTCCTGCAGGTGATGCCCAGTGGGGTGATAACCCATCCACCTAACTGGAAGCAGGAAGTGGCATCTTCTGCCTGTGACATCCTCATGGCACAGACAAGAGTCACTCAGTCCAGCAGGCTCAGAGTCAGCTTAGGACCCCTTGGCAGAGTGCCCAGTGACAAGTCACCATGTCACAAAACATGTGAATATACCCCAGTTTGTGACAGGGTAGGTCTTGGAGATGATCGTTTTTCCCCCAAAATGGAATAGTTTTTGACTCTCTGTCCCACACAGGGCATCTCCCTTGGGTAATATCTTTCATCTCATATTGTTGAACACAGTCTGGAGCCTGAGTCTGGATCTTGGCTTTCCCGTTACTAGCAAATTATTTAACCTTTCTGAGCCTCCCATTCTTTCATCTGTCAGATGGGGAGAATATCTTCCGTGGGTATTTCGAGTTTGAGAAAGAATACATGTAAACAGCACTGCAGTTATTATTAGTGGTAATAATTACAGGGAGGTCTCCTACATAGTTTCATGATCAAAGCTTCAGGCTTGGTAGCCAGAGTCATTCAGAGTCATTGAAATAAACATGTTTTTCAAAACTTGCAATAAGCTTTTTTATGCCCTCTGGGATGAGGAGGCACAAAAAATAAGGATGGGGTGTCTGGAAACCTGGATCTAATAGATACTGTTGCTGTCTGGCTGGGCAAGTTCAGCTTGTCTGAAGGTCCTGCAGAGCGTTGGCCACCACCCCTCGAGGCCCAGCTCCTGGGCAGAGAGTACCCGTGCTTGGAGTGTCTGTTTGGGGCATTGCAGCTGTGAGTCATTACAAGCAGCTAGGAGTGTCTTCAGCCTGGTCCTGTGGACCTATGAGTGAAGACTTTGCGAAGTCTTTACACTCCGGTTGAGTATATTCAGACCTTTAATGTGGTTAAGAGTACAGTTTCAACACTGGTTACCAGTGCTGGCATGCCTGCTTGCACCTTCTCCATTTTGTTTTTCTGTTGTGCTCAGTGGGGAGAAGAGGCACGTGGGCCCTTCCCTGAGTGCTGGCCCCAGATGCTGGGACTCTGCGGACCTTGGGGCCAGGATGAGTCATACAGACACACAATGCAGTGTTAGGGAACAGCCTGCTGGCAGAGCCGGTGGCAGCCTGCAATGGTCCAGCTCAAAGAGCCAGTTACCAAAAGGCTGGATCTTGTGTCTGTGGTTTATTTTGTTTTTATTAACTATTTTATAAAGATAAAAGAATACTGATTTTAAAATACATATAAATTATAAAAAATAACATAATAAATTCCCATGTACCCAGCACCTAGTTTAAAAAGAAATATCACCATGACCTTTAAAGTCCCTAAATCCCTTCTGTGCCCCTCCTGATGGGACTGGATTCTTCCAGTGGAATTTTATTTCTGAGTGCCTGAGGCTCAGAAAGGGAGTGACTTGCCTGAAGTTTCAGTCTGTCAGTGGTGGAACCAGAGATTGGAGAAAGTCACCCAGTGAACATAGTGGGAAATCTGATCCCATCTGGCCTAGCACCTCTGATGAAGGGTGAACCCTTACGTCTCATCAGGCCCTGGTTATCTGTGACATCTTCGACACCTCCGGGGCCTGGAACAAGCCGTCCTGTGCCCCAGGCCCCTGGTTCCATCTGCTCTGGCATGTAGCTGTAATCCTCTGACCTATCAGCTAGCAAGAGTGAGTAACAGCTCCCCTGTCCTGCAAAGGTCACCACAGGCCAGAAGCCAAATGGGCGCTGGTGACGTTCCTCTAGGCACATGGGAATGTATCTTTGCAGCCCTTTGTGGTTGCACCAGAAGCTGCATGTGAGCCTCCCTGCATGTGTGCACTTGGTCTTCCTATCACCAGGTCTGAAATCCAGAGTGGCTGGAGGCATGGAACAAAGACCCAGCTGGGCTGTCAGGCCACAGGAGTTTTATTTTAGGAATAGTGTATATTCTTTTCAGCAAAATAATTTCCAGAGGCTCAGAAAGAACCACTGAGAAATATAAATAGTGATATTCGAGTGGAGATCCAGTAAATAGGTTTGTTTTCCTTTCTTGCAGTTGTAGCATTGTTTAATACTACTACTACTTCTTCTCAGTGCACACATCTCTTTTCCCAGACCCCTGTTTCTGGGAGCAAGAATGTGACTTCCAAGAGATCTCAGAAAGGCTTGTCAGGGCTTTTACCTCTTGACTTTGAAAACCCAGAATCGTGGAAATTTCAGCTCAGAAAAGAGGACCTTGCAAGCCCTTCAGGCCAGTGTTTCCACATTGTGGGATTTCATGGACCACTAACATTTCAAAAAATTCTGGTGACAGAGTTGCCAACTTTTTATTTCGCGGAAGACATTAAACAGTCAACTACATCCCCATTTCATAAGAGAAAGGACTTTTTTTTTTTAACAACAACTAGCAACAAAATACCTGTCATTTCTGAATAAAGAACAGACCCATAAATTGAAAACATTCAGCTTTAACAAGAACTCAGAACTACCTTGTCCTGATTATTCTCACTGTGACACAGACCCATGAAATCTCTGGTATGGGCCTCTTATTTGGTAAGGGTCTGCAGCTGTAATGCGGTAGTTCACAGCCTTGGCTGCATCATCAGGGAAGCTTTTAGAAACCAATATGGATGCCTGGGTCCCACCCCTATCGGCTAATTTATGGCGTCTGGGTAGGGCTCCCCAGGTGTATTCATTTTACAACCAGAATTGAGAACCTTGTGTGTAATCCAGGCCCCCTTCCAATGCATGAACCCCCAGTAGAATATTTCAAACCAAGTCATTGTACAGCTAAGAGGCCTTAAGATTCAGGAGTTTCCCAATCTCTTAAATCTCCCCGAAACTCTGACTTGAGAGAAAAGATTTCCTAAAGGTCAGGATCAGAGAGGGGAAGGGAACTTCTATTCATTAAGTGCCTACTGGGAACCAGACCTAAGGTTTTTTTAAAGTGCTAAGTTTGTTTTTTAAAGGGATTCTTTTAATTAATTAATTTTAAATGATACTTTTTAGTTTATTTTAAAATACAATAAAGTATAAAAAAAGAAACAAAAATAGCATATAATCGTACTGTCAGATAACCCCTTTGAATTAAAAGGGGGAAAAAAAGCACAGTGTGGTAGGCACAATGTCCCCTCCTTACCCCCCAATAAAGATGATCACCTCATAATTCCCAGAACCTGTGACTGTATCAGTTTATGCGGCAAAAGAGCCTTCAGATGGGGGAAGTATCCAGGATTACTCAGGTGGTCCCAGTGTAATCAAAAGGGCCCTTAAAAGTGGACGAGGTAGGTGCAGGAGGCATATGGGAAATCCCTGCACCTTCCACTCGGTTTTCCCGTAAACCTAAAACTGCTCTAGAAACTGAATTTATTTTTAAAAATGTAAAGTGGAAGAGGGAGGCAGAAGAGGAGGACTTAGTCCGACATTGCTGGCCAAAGATGGAAGGAGGTCATGAGCCTCTATGTGCTGCAAAAGCAGGCACACGGATTCTCCCCTAGAGCCGCTGGGGGGACGCAGCCCTGCAGGTACCTTGACTTTAGCCTGTGAACTTCTGACCTCCAGAAATGTAAGAGAATAAATTATATTGCTTAAGCCACTAAGTTTGTGCTAACTTGTCATCGCAGCAATACAAAACACACAGTAATACTTGTGTGCCAGGATTTCCACACCTTGTTTAATTCTTGGAACCCTCCTATGAAGCAGGCATTTTAGTCCTGTGTTATACATGGGGAAGCTGAGACTCAGAGAAATCCACTGGCAGAGCAGGAATTGTAACCAAGGTCTCTTGAGGCCAAGTCTGTGCCTGCTATCGGGCTGCCTTCCTCCCTCTCCCGCTTCTGCACCCCCGACCCCTGGCAGAACTCAGCCTGCCTGCCTACAGACCACCCTGTGTATCAGGTCCTCCCTGGGGCTTCAGGAAGAGCTTTCTCCCTGGTGGGAGAGAGTCTCCATTCCCTCTGAGGGTGGGGGGTGATGTTAGGGAGGGTGTCAAAATGAGACTTTTAAATCATCAAAGGAAGAATCAGGGACATTTAAAGAGCAAGGCAGGGGACCTAAGACATGAATTAGGAAGAGTGACAAATGTGTTCCTGAGACCCAGGGCTGTGGCACCATAGGGACACTGAGGGGCTCTGATCTCCATGAGTTCACTCTGCCTTCCCCATCCATGATCCACTATGGCCAGACAGCACCCTGGTTGCGGAGAGGAGGTGTTACTCTTGGCACCCCGAGATTGGGGGTTCGAGGGCTGTGTCTTGCTGAAATGCCACCTTGCAGTGCCCAGAGGCATTCAAGGCATTGCCAGCTATAGCCAGCTGAGGCCACAGTGGGAGGTAGAGTCCAAATCCAGCACCTCCCACCAGCTTTGGGCATGAGGAGTCATTGGTAAGGGTCTGAGGTTTGCATCTTGGCAGCCTGGTGCCTCTTAATGTGTGTGGGGAGCTGAGGGGTGGTGAGGGGAGTGGTTCTGCCTTTGAGCTACACCAGGCTCTTCCTGGGCCTCTGCCCCACAGGGCCGTCACAGTATAAAAGGTCCCAAATAGAGTCAGCATTGGGCTAACTGTGACCCTCTGTCTTTGCAGTCCTGCGGAACATCTTTGTCCTCGCCTGCATCATTATTGTCTGCTCCCTGCTCTTCCCTGTCCTGTGGCACCTCTGGATTTACGCAGGAAGTGCCAACTCCAATTTCTTTTATGCCATCACACTGACCTTCAACATTGGGCAGGTAAGAGTCTAGAGCAACACAGGGGAAGGGGTTCATTTTGTAGCCTCAGACATTCTACCTGGGCCCTGGGTTCTGCAAAATATGGGTTTGGATGTGAATGAGGGGCAGTTCCTCCCCTCAGGTAGCTCAAGGTCCGGTAGAGAAGGTAGGGAAGTAAGAGCAGCGGGGAAAACTGAATTTGGCTAGCATTCATTGGGCATGTTGCTGCAGTGAATTCTCACAGCAGGCCTGTGAGGCAGTGTTATCCCTATTGTGCAAATGGGATCCAGGGCTCACAGAGGTTGTCTTTTGCCCGAGGTCATTGGAGGAGCCAAGAATCAAATTCAGGGAGACCTGAATTCAGTTTCTGAGGCCACGCTCTTTCTGTAATTGAGCCTGGGCTGCGGCACCTAGAGCCATGTGAGGGTGTGGAGGGCAGGGGCAAGGGGAGGAGAGAGTTAACGGGCTTGGGGGCAGCAGGAGCAAAGGCAGAGTTGAGACTTAGTTTGGTCTAGCCTCTAGCCATTGGGTAAACCTGGAGCACAAACTGCAGCTGAAGTCGCAGGAGAGGAGCCTGAGGGATTTACAGAATAAGTAGCAGCAAGGCCTTCAGGCCCCACCCAGGGAAAGCACCCCCCAACCCCTGTGCCATAGAGCAGTGCTTCTCAGCTCCAGAATCCCTGCAGTGAGCTTGTTTAAAAATGCAGATTTCCTGTTAATGTTTTAATGTTTATACTAAATCTGTCACAAATGCATGACTTTGATTGTTAAAAAAATTTTTTTTCTCTAATCTCACTCCCAGAGATGTTGATTGGAATTTGTATTTTTAATCAAGCTCTCCAAAGATTCTGTTGCAGGTGGTCTAGCAAACCTCTCTGAAGTTCCCTTGTCCACTGTGCTGCATTCTCTCAGGTCAGCTCTGTCCGAATTGTCGAGATCTCATGATCGCAGTTGTACCGTTCACCATTTCAATTGCCATTTGACACAGCCCGGCATTTCCTATGCATAATGGAAGGGATGGGAACAAGGCTCACTGGAAAGACCAATGATGCCAGTGAACAGTCCCCAGGGAGATTCTTGCCTCCAAGGTTAGCTGCTGGGAAAGAAGGGAGTTAGGGCTCTTGCAGTGAGTGATGGGTCTGGTATTTCCTGCATGGACATTTCTGGACAATTAATGTCCAGCCCAGCTGTTTATCTTAGTTTGTGAACAGCAGAGAGACAGAGGGCCCTGCAGCCTGGGTGGAACCAGGCCTGAGGGTCGGTTCTGCCTGTCACACACACAAGTTACTGTTGGCGAATGCTCAGCGCCTCCTACATGTGTCCATGTGAACTGAAATCTGCAGGATGCAACTTAGTGCCGTGAAGAAATCCAAAAGATTGTTCTGGCTCTTCTGCCCTGCTGAAATCCCCTTACTTTTCCTTTGAAAGTAATGATGGGCATGTCAGGACAATGGGCCTACCTTGGGCCTCTGGGGAGCTTGGCGAGCTCCACTGGAATAGTCCACAGCTTTTGTCAGGTCATGAGTGTCAAGTGTGGGTCAGGAATGCAGTTGTAGTGATTATGAAGTGTCCATGGAACTTGCCAGGTTACAGCATTTTTCCCTGTGGCTGCCTTTATAAGAAAAGGGTTTCTGAAAACAGCATGGGAGATGTTTGCAAGTTGTCAGGTGCTATCAAAGGCAGGAGAAACTGCATTGTTGGAAAAAGGAGGATGGGGTTGGGATTGGCATTCAAAGCCAAGTAGATGGAGAGTGTTAGTGGCTGAGCTATAGAGAAAAACCAGGCTGAATTCTTGGCATTGTCCTTTACCTTTAAAAAAAAATCTCTTTAAATTGTATTTTTTAATCATATAAGTAATACATGAATTCATTATTGCTGGGGGAAAAAGGGAAAAAATAAAAGCATATGGAATTAAGAGAAAATATTCCCCGCTGAGCCGCGTCCCTTCCCACCCAGTGCAGATGTGATCGCGAGGATCAGTTTGGGGTGTGTCTTTGCAGACTTCTGTGCGTTTACAGACAGCTCTTAGTCCATATGCAAACATAAAGACATCCTACTCTAAGTACTGTTCTTTGACTTGCTGTTTTTCACTTAATGATCACCTTTCCTGTCGTGAGTGGTTAGGGAAAGGCATAGGGGATGAGGAGTGGGAGCTGGGTCTTCCCGATGCACAGAGAGGTGAAGGGGAGAGGGTCCAGGAGGTGGGCAGGATGGGGGCCAAGTCACCCCTACTGGCTAAGCTCAGGGGTGGCAGCTCTGTCCCCAGCCCTTCTCCCACTTCTGCCAGAACCTGGTTTCTGTGGCCAGCAAACCCCTGCATGTCCCCACAGCCCAAGCCAGGGCAGCTTCCCTTTGACCTATAGTCAGTGCTTGCAGTGAGGTGTGCGGCATTCAGGGAGGTCCTCAGCCCCACACTGGCTCTTCCCAGCTCTCCTAGCTGTGCCTGTCCTTATAGTCGCCTGGTCCTCATTCTCTCCTCCCTGGGCAAGACAGATCAGAGCTGCCCTGGGAACCAGATGAGGACGGATTTGCAGCAGGCGTCCAGAGCCAGGCCCATCACTTGCTGATTCCAGTGCTGAATGTGGAGAACGTCTTGGCCTGGAGATTTTCAGTCCTGCTCTGTTTGAGTTGGTCAGTGCTGTGCTCCATAATACAACAAATCTTCAGTAAATTATAGTGAATTGGCAGGTGAACCAGTGACTTAGTCCCTGCCCTTTCCCCTGGGGCCATCGAGTATTTTTCAACACGTGGCACAGATCATTTGTTAATTATAATTGTGTCTGGGAGTCAGTAACCAGGAAATGACAAGGAGGGATTGAGGTGGGTTGGTTGGTTCAGAATCCCCCTCCACTCCGTCACTGTATAACCTTCAGCGAGTGATTGACCCTCTCTGCGATGCAGGTGAAAACCCCACCTCCCAGGGTGGTGAGAGGATCTGAGTGTTGACCTGTGTTGTCTGGGAAATAGCACGAGCAACGTGCTCTCAAATACCCAGAGCAAATACCTAAGGAAACATTCAGAGCTGGTAACTGAGGGAAGGAGAACAATCCTCTTCGCCCTCTTTGTTTTTTAATCCTTTTCTTCTGCAGGTGAGTGACCAGCAGAAGGATAATGGTCATCTAGGATGACATAAACAAATAGGAATGTTTAAATTTAGCCTTTTTAAGAGTAAGACATCCTGCTCACCCCAATTCAACTTAAAAACAGGTAACATAAGGAAATCGTTCCCTAAATTATAATTAAAAGTGGCTCAGGTTTAAAGAGCTCTAAACTAGGGGCCAGGCCCAGGTGATCCCTTTAATCTCCCACGTCATGTGCTTGTTCGGCCCCTGGCGCTTTCTCTGTGTGTTGACGTGTGCTCTTCTGCTCTTGGAGGAGTTTATTTGTGTGTGTGTTTTATTGCTGGCATCATGATGAAAATACGACCTTTTTTCTTTTAATAAAACATCTGGGTGCTCTCTCCTTGTTCGCACATGAGAGGAAGCTCCTTCCTGTTTCAGTCCTGCGTGTGCGGACTCACCGCACCTGATGTAGCTTCTCCCCTGCTGATGGCCCTTCAGGTTGTTTTCTTTTTTTTTTAATTATAATACAGAATTGACTTAATCTTCATAACAGCACTTTGAGGGAGGCAGTACTGTTATCATCTCAGATACAAAGGGAGAATCTGAGGCTGGGAAGTCACAGCTCCAGGCGGTGTGTTTATTCATGCCCTGTTTCTCACACCCTATCAGGAGACTGTGGGTTCCACTAGGGCAGCCCCCAGACCTGTCTTTTTCGCAACTGTATCCCCAGCACCCAGAAGAATCCTCAGTGACAGTTTAGTGATGAATAAATGGAATGAGCAAGGTAAAAAACCACAATTTCTGACGAGTGATCAGACAGCCTTGAACACCCTCACCTCCCAGTTCGTGTCGGTGTTGGTCAGAGCTGGACCCGTGGCAGGTCCTGCTGGATTCCTAGGAGGTCAGAGCCAGAGTCCCCTTCCCCTCTCACCCCTTGGCTACCCTGAGAGTCCCACTCCTGCTCTGTGTCTGCATCTAAAACAGGCTTCCTGGTGGCTGCCCCTGCCCTTCCCAGCAGGACCTGAATCGCTCTTCAGGCTGCTGCCTCCTCGTCCCCTGGCCCGCCTCCATGTGCTGCAGACCCTGTAGATCCTGGGCTGGCCCTGCTTTGGCCTTCTGCCCTGGGGTCTGGGCACTAAACCTCTGGCACATTAGGCCTCGCTGGAACTCACTTGTTCACTCCAGCACAAGTGAAGCTGCAGTCCCGTCTCCTTGAATTGTCACTCACTTGGCCTGGTGTATCGTTCTGGGGAATGTACCAGTGAGGAACTGTGTTGGGACATGTCTGGCAGATTGCCAGGAGTTGGGTGGCATGTAGCCCACATTTGTGGACAGGCAGGGGCCAATTTCAGGCTTATTTCTGTATGGCCCTGGCTGGAAGATTTGTTCCTCCTGACATGAGGTGCCAGTGGCCCAGGCTGGACTCCTGGTCCTCATCCAGCTGGGTGTGCATGTTGGCTTTGCTTTCCTTAGCTGGTGGCGTTTTGTCAAGGTCTTAGAGTTCATTCCTTTGTTTCTGTCACCCTCAGCGCTAGGCATCCCAAGCTTGTCTCTCACAGGCCCTTCCCCACCCCCTCTTCCCCCACAACCAGAGTGACATGAAAAGCCTGGGCTAAGTACGGGGGGACAAGGCCAGCAGGAAGGCCTGGGCTTTGGAGGCCCGAACTCCACAGTGACCCCAGCCCCATCCTTGTCCAGCTCACTGGCCTTGGGTAAGTCACATAACTCCTTGGGCCTTATTTAATGATTTGCAGATATTAAGTTGGTGCCTACTGGGTGCCAGGCACTCTGCTAGGGGTGAATGAGACACAGCCTTGCTTCCTAGGAGCTCACCATCTGTGGGAGAAAAAGAAAAGAAAACTGGGGGAGCCAGGCAGCACAATGGTGCTGTGAATGGGGTCAGCACGGCCTGGGGCGCTCAGTGCTGGTGATTAAAGAAGCTTCTGGGGAGAGGCAGCCTCTCAGTGGAGTCCTGAGGGATGTGTAGGGTCAAACAAGGTTCTGGGTGGGGAGACCTGAGTGAGAGAGCAAGTTGGTGTGGAGGGCAGTTCTGCAGGAAAGGCACGTGCCACCTGGTAAAGAATGAGGCCGTTTCAGGATAGTGGTGGTCAGAGCCACGTGGCCCACATGGGCCTCATTATGCTGAGGACCAGGCTGAGCTGTTGGTTTTAAACTGAGGACAACTGAGATTGGATTCATGCTCTGAAAACCTCACTCTGCCAGGAAGGAGAGCAGTCCGGGGTGTGAGTGGGGATCTGGAGCACAGGCAGGAGGCTGGTGAAACCTGGTGAGAGGGGGTGGTAGCTTCAGTTTCCTCAGCCTAGAAGGAGGGTGGTTGTGAGGACCCAATATGGAGCTGAGTGAGGAAAACTTGTGTGAGTTGAAAAGTGCCACATAGATGATAATTGCTGTCTTAGCCAGCTGTGACCTTACTTTGTGACATTCCAGACCCTGAGGCTGAGATACAGTGATTTTCCTATTATTTTGTATACCTGTAGAGCTAGAGGGTGGCGCTCTGTGTCTCTACCATCTCCTCCTATGCGTGTCCCTTCAGGCCTGTGAGTTGGCAGGTCACACAGCTCCACAGGTTGGCTGTCAGCCCTTCTAGCTCCTCATTTCCTGGACCCCAGGCAGCAAGGGCAAAGGATGTTGCACTTTGATTGCTGATGGTGACAACCAACTGGGTCCCCAAGTGCAAGCTGGCTGTCGAGCGTCGGCATCTCCAAGGCAAGTGAGAGACCTGGGAACCGGGACATGCCTAGAGTGACAGTGTCTGCTTCTCCAGGATGCTGCAGCCCAGGAGTCAGTGTTGGCCAAGGCTGTCATCCCGAGCTCCCTGGCTTCTGGACATACTGAATTAACAGCCTTTGCTGGCTCTGCATCTCAGACACTTGTTTTGCCTTTTCCAAAAAAAACTCTCTTCTTGGCTAAGTGACAGAGCTGTGAACTGGGAGCACAGCCTTGACAGGGGTGTCGGTTTACACAAAGCAAGAGTATGGAGCCAGAGTGAGACTTGGCGTGCGTGGGTGCAGAGCCTTGAGAGGGGTTGTGAGGGTGAAGGGATGGACTAGGGTTTGGGCCTCTGAGCCTAAACGCCTCACTTACTCCCAGGTGACCCTGGGCAAGACCCTAATCCTTGTCTATAAGTGGGGCTTGTAAGCCCTACCCCAGGGTGTTATGAAGATTCAATGATATGCCTTTTGTTAAAGGGCTTGGCCCAGGGCAGATGTTCAGATGTTGCTTTCCCGGTCTCTCCTCTCTCCCATCCCATAGTGGAGCATGTTCTGACCATTTCATTCCACTTCTGATCTGCTCCTCTCTGTCCCTGGTCACCCTTTTATCAGCTGCCCCATTAAATCTTTGTCTTTATCGTGATCCAGAGGGGAACCTGGAGACCTCAGGGCTGCCAGTGAGAGGGATATGATCTGACTGAGCCCTCACTGGGGCAGTGTTGAGCAGGTAGGGACAGCAAACGACTCCATGTGCATCAGTCCCTGTACTGGGTCTAGGGCCACAGGGCTGGAGTGGATGCCACCCCTTTTGGTGGGGGGGGCAATTCAGGGGTCACATAACTTCATGTGGGGCTAGGGAGGACCCTGGAGGCCAGAGGTGGAGATGCTGCCTCTCAAGGGATGAGTAGGAGCCCCCTTTGGGGGAAGGGTCATTCCACCCCAGGGGTGAGACATGAGCAGAGGCACCCAGGTGTGGCCACTCAGTGTTTGCAGGACAGGCTACTTTCAGGGTTATGGGATGTGCAGGTGTGGCTCAGGGAGAGGGGGCACCAGAGGCTTCTGAGTGGGCAAGTATAGGGCTCTCGTGTGTGTGTGTCTGTGTGTAAGATCCCTCAGGGGCCGGGAGGATGAGAGAGGCCTTCCAGCAAGAGGGGGCAGTGGGAGGGAGAAAAGGGGGCTGAGTGGGAGGAATTCTGAGGAGGGGAATTGGCGAGACCTGGTGGTGGGTAGCAGGAAAGAGGCCAAGGGTCTCTGCTGCAGTCGGTGAGGGGAGCTTTAAAGAGTGGGCTGCTCTTCAGGTCTCTGAAAGCAGAGAGACAGAGCAAGGACTAGGAGAGCCTCCACTGTAACTAACAAATTAGTTTATCACTCATTTAACAGATGAGGAAAACGCTGTGTAGGGGAGGGGAGTGACTTAAACCAGGTCACACAGCCACCAACTCGCCCATGCTATTTCCACTGCTCCTTTCCTGACTTCCCCTGCCCAGACTGGACAAAGGGGCGCCGGGTCTGCAGCTGCCACGTTGGCTGAATCCCAGGGCCTCTCGGAAATCCCTTCTCCTCAGCCCAAATGGAAAGCCTCAAGGTTAGAAGAGGCTGTCTCAGCCAGCCTGTGACAGCTAGGGACTTTCCTCCAAGAGAACCAAATCTCCAGGCCAGTGTTTCCTAGATATGCCCTCTCTTTGGGGGCAGGGGCAGGGCACCCACTCGGGACTAGTGACTGCTGGTTCCAGACAGACCAAACCAGCATGCAGAGTTCTTTCCCCCAACTCCACCCTCCCCTAATACTTTATTATGAAAATTTTCACACACAGGGCAAAGCTGAAAGATCTAACCTTGAACACCTATTCCTACCACCTAGATGCCGCAATTTACATTTGACTATACTTGTGTGATCACAAATTGTTCATCTCTTAATCCCCCAGTTTTTTGTAATGTATTTCAAAGTGAAGTGCAAACATCAGTATATTTCCTGCTAAATATTTCATCATTATATCATTAGCTGGAGTTCAATAGTTACCTTTTTTGTATGTGAAATTTACATAGTGAAAAACACGAATCTTACCATGTACATTTCCCAGAGCCTTCTTTCACTTAGCAAAATATTTTTGAGGTTCATTCATGTTGTTTCATATAACAATAGTACATCACTTTTTAAAATAAACTTTTAAATTTTGGAATAATTTTAGATAGTACATAGAGTTCCCATTTTCCTCCCCCAGTTTCCCTCATTAACATTTTATATTACCCTGGTATGTTTGTCAAAACCCAGAAACTGACCCTGGTACATTATTATGAAGTAAACTCAGATTTGATGTGGATTTCACCATTTTTCCCTGTAATGTCCTCTTTCTCTTCCAAGATCCAATCCCAGGTACCACATTACATTTAGTTGTCATGTTTCCCCCATGTCTTCTGCTCACACTCTGTCTTTCCTAATTTCTCATGACATGGACAGTCTTAAGGGCCATTGGTCAGGTATCCGGTAGAATGTCCCCTCTTTGGGTTTGTCTGATGCTTTTCTCTTCATGAGGTTGGGTTTTAGGTTTGGGACTGCTCAAGCAGTACATGCTAGTCACATTTCAAGCAGTTTACCCTTCATCATTTGGTGAAGATAGGGTTTGCCAGACTTCTCCAGTGTAAAGCTACTGTTTTCTCTTTCCCCGCTCTTTGGAAGTGAGTCACTAAGTCTAGCCTACCCTCGGCGGGCAGGGAGTGAGGAGCAGGCAAGAATTAAGCTCCACCTCCTGAAGGGAGGGTATCTACGTATATTATTTGGAATCCTTTTGTAAGGATTCCAGAGGGAATTCTCCCTCATTTACTTATTCAGTCTTTATTGGCTGATTGTTTTTAATTGGATTTTAATTTTTATCAACATAACATGCATACATAATTTACAAAGTTTTAAGGCTTATAAGGAAAAAGAATAGCTCCCTAAGGTCTTAAAGTTATTCTGGTTCTTCTAGATTATGTACTTCATTATTTGATTTTTTTTTCCATTTTATGTTAAATTGAGCCATATGAAATTGCCAATATTCAACTATTTTTGATCTGTAAAAATGGCAGTTCATACAGTTCAATTTAATACCTAGTATTTTGACTTCCTACTTGACCAGCTGATTGTGTGCAATTGTGTGTGACATTGGGGTTGTTCTGTTATAAGTTGTGACTTTGCACCTGCTCCTCATCTGACCTGTCTTGGGGATCAGCCACAGCTCCAGGCTCCCCTTACCCAGACCAGGCACCTTGGGCCTGGGTGAGAAAGGGGTTGCAGGGGGTGAGGGCCGCCTTTACTGTGGTCACTGCCCTCCAAGGGCAGCTGCAGGTCAAAGTCTCAGGGGCTCCCTGGGTTCTTGGCTCTGACATCCTCAGCAGCAGAGTTTTGTGCTGTTAGCTCACCGGGCCCCAGGTGCATCGCCTTGCAGGGTTATGGCCACTGGTCCTGCTCTCTTGGGACAGCCTTAGGCCAGCTATTGAATCTTGTGCACCTCAATTTCCTTGTCCATAAGATGGGAACTATGAGCCTTCCAGACAGCCTCCTGTGGTGACAGAATAGCAGATCCTTGTCCTGAGGCCATCCATGATGTGGGTCTTGAGCACCTCTTCCAGACCCCTCCGTGCTCTCCTTTCTGCCCAGGACAGGGGCCAGGGGGCCAGAAGCTGAGATGCCAGTCTCAACCTCTAACCTGCTCTAAGGCCCTAGCCAGGTGCTCCCCCTGCTCTGGGCTAATGTCTCCCCATCTCTGCCTAGAGGGGTTTGGTGCCGATAGTCTGAAATGCCTTTAGGTGTCTGAGAACCAGTGGTGTCTGTCTCCATCCTTACATGGGGCTGAGCCCTGCCCCTCCTGCTCAAGGCACTAGAGGTCTTGGGAGCTTGGAATGAATGAAATTGTAAGACTGCAGGTCCAGTGTTCGGGGGACCTTGGAAAATCCCTGTTCCCCTCTGGGCCTCAGTGAGTGGGATGGTGGGCTGAGCTGCTGGGGCTCTTTTGATTCTGATGCCCAGACAGGAAAGACAGGCTGAGTTGGGCACAGACACCATGGTGACAGAATCACTCAGGGACCCTGCCCAGGCCAGGGGAGGAACCAGAGTCATCAGGCAGTCACACAGATGACTGTAAAACTACAATTTGGATGAGTTCGTGCTATAGAAGTTAATGGGGCCAAGACGCAATCTGGGGTTTAAGGGAGGGCTTCTCTGAGGAAGTGATCCTTCCTGAGACCTGAAGGTCAAGCAAGTGTTGATATATGAAAGGGGAAGAGAACATTCCAGGCAGAGGAAATAGTGACGATCCTGCATTGGGAGGGTAGACACCAGTGTGGCTGGAGCCATGTGGGGTGGAGCAGGGGAGAGGGTGCTGTATATACACAGTGCAAGGCCGTGCAGCCCCGGGGAGTTGGAGCTTTACCTAAGAGCCATGGAAGCCTTTAGAGGACTTTAAGCTGGGAAGTAACATGACCAGATTTGTGTTTTGAAAAGCAACCTCTGCTGCTGGGGAAAATGGACTGTGGTGAGGCAGGTGGGTAGTTTGAGATCAGGAAGCCCAGAGGGGAGACCACTGTTGTTTAGATGATAGTGGCTTTGTCCAGGGTGGTAACTGTGTGGACAAGTAGAAACAACTAACAGGACTTGGTGGCTTGGTGTATGGGAGAAGTGTCAGTTGATTCTGTGGCCTGAACACCTGGGTGGAAGATGGGGGATATGGGTTCCCAGTGGGAGAAGCAGGTTTGACAGGGGGCCTGGCTGGGCTGGAAGGGCCTATGGGCATCCAGGAGATGAGATGGAGGACACCAGTCTGGAGCTCAGAGGTCAGGGCTTGGGATGGAAGTGTAGAGCATGGTATGGGGATGCAGGGGAAGGGAGGGCAGTAGGGGAGCTTCTGAGGTGCCAGTGAGACCTTGCTTAGGGTCAAACGTAGGTGCTGAGTGGGGTTGGGGGTGTCCCTGTGCAGAGTCTCCCCAACACCTGCCTAGCCCCTCAGGGACCCAAGGTTCATAGGGAGGTACCATGAAGCTTCTCACACCATCTCTCTCCCCCCAGATCCTGCTCATCTCCGATTACTTCTATGCCTTCCTGCGGCGGGAGTACTACCTCACACATGGTCTCTACTTGACCGCCAAGGACGGCACAGAGGCCATGCTTGTGCTCAAGTAGGCCTGGCTGAGCACAGAGCTGCACAGACTTCAGGGGGTGAAAGGGCCAGAAGCTGAGCCAAGCCCTCGAGCCCGAGTTGCCAGCAGGCAAGTCCTAAGGCAGATGAGGTTTGAATCCAGGGTCACGAGTATCTCGCACCAGTGGAAAGCCAAGACTGGCACTCAGGCCTGTGGGGAGCAGCCAGGAGCATCTCCCCTTGGACCTCCCCCCCCATTTTGTGGCTCTGCACACCAAGGAGCCCCCTCCCAAGCAGGAAAGGGGAAGAAGCAGGTGAGCAGGGTTTGTTACATTGTGGCTACTTAATAAATGTTTTTTGTTATGAAAAAGTCTACCCTGGAACCCCACTGCACACCTGGGGAGGAGTGGGCTTGGCCCCTAATACTGCCATGGTACACTTCACACAGGTATGGGTTTCCTGAATGAGCCCTGAGCCCACAGAACACAGGTCTGTGCACCGCAAGATGAGAATGGTGTGGGGCAGCCCCACCCACGGCCTTCCCCATGCCCCAAGCAGCTGGAGGCAAAGGGCCAGGCAGGCCTGATCAATCTTTATTCTGCAAAGGGACAGTGACCACAGATCCATACACCATGTCAAGACCAGGTGAGCCAGGGGCCAGTCCTTTCAGGGGTGGGCAGGTCTGGGCATGGGCAGCAACTCAGGTTGGGGAGGGACAGATGGGCAGACAGGCAGGGGCCTAAAAAAAGACAAACCACACAGAGCAGGGGTGCTGGGGGCTGCTCCCCATCCCAGCCAGCACCCAGAGGGGAAACTCTAACATGACTGGGCCAGGATCCCCCCGGGGCAGAGGAGATGTGGTTGGTGCTCCCTGGCTAGGAGGTGGCATCCCTGCCCAGCCCACCAGGGGCAGAAGCAGCTCTGTTCAGGTGCCAGGAGCTCCCTGGGCAGAGCCTGACAGGGCCCCCCCACTCCCAAGCCAACCCCCCCCCACTGGTGGCTCAGAAGCCGAAGGTTTCCTGGGAGGCATAGACCATGTAGAGGAAGCCATCATCATCCTTCTCCTGCTCGTAGATGTCCGCGATGGGCGTGGACACGCTCACCATGCTGTGCTGGTTCACCAGCAGGAAGAAGGCCTGCGTGGGGTTCAGCTGCAGGCGGCGCCTGAGGTGGACGGGAAGGCATGCCAATCGTGAGGGGCCTGGCCGTTGGGCGAGTGTAGCCCTAACTCCCTCCCCAAAATGATTCTGATCCTCCACACCCATCCCATCCCTTTCTACAGGCTCTCACCGCTAACTGGACGGTGACCCCAGCCCTGACCTTGACTTTTCCCAACCTTCTCGGAACAGGGCCCCAGCACCCGGTCCCATGCCCCACTCCACCCCTTCCTTCTCAGAAGGACTCAGCCCCCTGCATAACCCCGGCAGGACTCAAGTCCCCTTCTGACAGGTGCTGCCCGCGCACCGGATGATCTTGACCAGCTCGCTCATGTTGACATGGTCCGGGACCAGGAACTTGGTCTTGTCCAGGACTGGCAGCTGCTTCTCACCCTTGTAGCGCTCGATGATCACCTGAGAGCGGGGTGGGGCGGGGGACGCGTGAGCCCAAGTCAGAACCTGGGGCCGGGCCGGGATGGGAGGGGGCAGAGCGACTCACCGGGATTTTGCTGGGGTGCTGGTCGCGGATCTGCTGCACCTCCTTACAGCGGTCGGCTGCGGACAGCGGTCGGGGATGAGGACGGGTTGAGGTCCTCCTCGCGGTTCCGCCCCGCCAGTCCCCGACGGGGCGGCCCCCGACCCCGCCCCGCCTCCCCGGAGCCCACGCCCCCGGGCCGTCAGGCTCCGTAGCCCCGGCACAGGACTGGAATGGGAAGCCGAGGCCGAGGCCCAGGCCCCAGCCTGCTTCCCAGCCCAGGGGTCCAGCCCGAGCCTGACGTCATGGAGCTGACGTCACCTGTAGCAGTCTAGTCGGTTTGCCAAAACCCCATCCCCACCCCCTACTCCCGAACTCCGCTCTCGCAGATCGCCCGCCGGGCCTCACCGAAGCTCCGCCGCTG